TTGGAGCAGGTAAATTTACTATGGCTCCTACTTTATCTCTACAGGTCTCAGCCCTGCATCTGCCTTTGTGTAGCCAAGATAAGTTACTTCTTTAGCTAGGAATGAACATTTGCTCTTGTTGAGCCTGGATATCAGGTGTGCCAACAATCTTTCGGAATACTGTGGCTAGGGTTTGACATGATTTTGGATGTCACTGTCATCAATAAGGACATCATCCTGAAAAAACATAACACATTTGGATGACCCACAAGAATTTTGTCCATGATGCATCAAATAAATTTTGGTGCACTTTTAACACCATAAGGCAACCTTTTTGAACTTTATACAATCCTTGTGAGTGTTGATGGTAAGGTACTGTTGGACTTTCATCAACAGAGACCTGAGCATATGCTGGGGATGTTCAATTTAGTGAAAATGGTTCCACCTGTTAGTGCAGCAAAACAAATCTTGAGATGGGTATGGATATTGCTCTCATCCTCAACAGCTTGGGTTACACGGTAACTTTTATAATCACCACATAGTCTAATAGAATTATCAGCTTTTAGGTACACTACTATTGGAGCAGCCCCAATTGCTCTTGGCGGTTTTCACACCCCCTCACTCACAAGTCTGTCTAATTCCTTCTCGACCTCACCTTTCAATGCATAAGGAACAGGTCTGACTTATATATATGGGTGTAACCTCTTTTGGTCAATGGTGATATGAGCTTCATAAACCCTTTTAACATCCTGTCCTCACAAATAAAATCTTGTGCCAGCATTACAATTTCTCAAGACCTGGGAATACTGTTACACATTCTAACACTAAATATCTCCTTCCAGTCCATCTCAAGTCTGGCTAATAAACCAGTTCTACTCCAACAAAGTTGGTCTATTCACATAATCCAGCTATACTAATGGCAACTTTAGATTCCACTTTTGTACTTTAATTCACACTCTAATCTCTACCTTCTGTGTTCAAACTTCCAGCATAAGTTCTCAACTTGACACCTGAGTCTTCTAAAGGCACATGCGCAAATAGTTTCTCATACACATATCTTTACTCATTATGGAGAAATCAGCTGCAGTATCCAATTTCATGGTTACAGGTGTGTCATTAATACAATAAGTCCACATTATATCTGTGTTTTAACTTTCTCTCTTCAAGACTGGTGTAAATAGTAAAATCACATGGGCACTCTCATCATTATCAGATCCAAAATTACTAACACACGCATGAATATGAATACTGTCTTCATTTCCTCTTCCACCTTCAACGGCATATACTCTACCTTATCACTTCTACAGGCTAGAGCAATATGTCCAATATGTTGACAATTGTAACATTTGAATTCTTGAACTTACACTGAAAGCTTTCATGTTTCCTCGGCAATTCTCTACATTTTAAATCAGCATGTCTTTTGTTTTGTGGTATAATTTATTCCTTTTTAGCTACAGTTACTTTACACTGAGCCACTACTGCTAACTGTTTCACTACCAGCATTGGGGAATTCAAATTTCCTCTGGTGTTTTTTCGGCCAGTTCCATGCTTGTAGCTATCTGACATGCACTTTCAAAAGTTGCTTGGGTGGTGTCTATTAACTTATTCTGTATTTTTTCTTCATAATTCAGCCTATTACATAAACCTGTCTCTGAAGTAGTCGGTTCAAGAACTGTCCAAATTTACAGTGAATGGATAACTTCTTCAAAGCTACTATATAATTACTTACTGATTCATCTTTTACCTCTATCTCTGGTGCCAAATCTGTAACTTCTAGCGATCTCTCAAGTGAGCAGGGTCAAAATGTTAAGCCCAGAATCTTGGCAAAATCAGTGAGGAGTCCTGGGTTTGTCTGAGTAAGTAGATTGACCAGAGAATAAACATTAGCTCCTATACCTCTGTCAAAAGATTGCTTTCCTTTTCTCTTGAAGGGCTTTCTTCTTCTGAGCATCACCACCGCTGTCTATTAATTCATTTTGCTGTGAAAGAAGAAGTCCATTCTTCACAATATGATGTGAAGTCTCCTTGTCTGCATCATACTCCCCCAATCGTCAGATGTATCCACTGATGCCAGCCATGGTTGCTCTCTTCACTTAAATTCTCCAGGTTCAGAGTAGCCTTCCCTTCAGTGGTCACTATCCTCTCTTCAAGGACTTCACCAACACTTTGTGAATCCCATCCTCGTCGCCAGTGTAGTATCTTGCGTTATTTAATGGGAGAATGACAAGCACATGGTCGGTCTGGCTGGTCGTTTATTCTCTGTCCTTGGTTACAACGTGCCTAACACATTTCGTGTTTACACAAGCCTAAACACTTTCTGACTTTGGTAAGAAGTAACATAATATATAATATATTTATTCAATAAAGGCAGCATATAAACATACATATATATAACACCCACTTGTGTAAAATCTTCAGCGTTGATGATACCTTGACATGAGGTAACATTCTACTATTTCATAAATCACAACTTAGCACAGATTGGGTGATTACTCTATATTATAGAGTATTATTAATTCACCCAACATGCCTTACTGTATGTTGCACCAGTGTGGCAAATATGGAAACTTTCCTGAGTGGGGCAACAAGACCAGTTATGTGGGGATATTTGGCCCATTTCACAAAATGCATAAATTTATTGGTGTCTTCGTTTTACTACTGTTCAAGGCTGGGCATTATGGTATTTATTTGTACAGAACTTTTGCTTTGAATTTTTTGAAACCCTTTGATGTAATACTGTATTTGTTAGATTGGTGTCCATTAAATAGAAATTTTACTGTACTGCCTGTATAAACAACACTTATAGGTAACACTATATAATGAAGATTTTTTTAATTTCTCTGGTAACACTATTTTTTAGAGGTTTTTAATTATTCTGCTATCACAGTATCTTTGGGTTCTTTTAGTTATTCTGGTAACATTACAGTTTGATGATGTTTTATAAGAGGAAGGATTAAAATTCCCACTTAGATCTTTTAGCCCATGCTTAAACCTTCTCAGCCACTCTATTAAACCTTCTTTCCTGCAGACCCTAACTTACATGCTCTCAAGTTTTTCTTGTTTTTTTTCTTAAGCAGCTGCCTCTTAAGGTTTTTTCTATATACATTGGGGTTAAAAAGATGAAAGTGTACAGGTTGTACCTCTCTAGTCCGGCAACCTCGGGACCTGACCGGTGCCAGACCATGGAAATTCACCCTTTTCCTGGATAGATAGTGACTTGTGCTTGTGCTTGGAAGCACTAGCACCACTTTCTCTGCATCATGGTCTCTTTGAAGACATATTGAAGGGTTAAATGTCGTATAGTAGCTTCTCAAATTTCGCGAGTTTTTAATTCTTAACGTATTTTATTGGAACACACACAAAAAAAAATAAATAAAAATTTTGACGGCGGAAACTTGAATTTCGACGGGTTTGAACGGCCCGCCAACGTGCAGACGACGTGCATAATAGTGTAAACAGCGTCATTTCTCTTATATACAAAAGATTCATTATTGTTTATTACTGAATGTTTTTTTATAGAATTAATGTTTATGTGTGCAAAATGAGCAATACAATTCATTAATAATACATAGAATATTAAAACACACGAGGAAATGACACAGCATTGTTTTCGTTGATTATAAAACCAGTGACTGACTGGTTCTACATATAAAACTGAAGAAAATAAGACCTTGGTTGTAGCTGTAGTAAAACAAATATGGTTGTTTTAAGTAATGTTATTTAATGTTAATAAATGGAACAATAGAAGTAGCTAACGATAATGGTAAAGAAAAAAGAGATCGCGTATGTAAGTGCGCACACGTGAAAACATATCATCATTACTTTACATAAGAATATGAAAGCAACACTTATTAACTGTTCATATATATTTTAATTAATGTTTCTGAATTTGTTTTTATTGAATTAATGTTTGTGTGTGCAAAATTAACAATACAATTTATTAATAATACGTAGAATATTAGAGGAGACGAGACGGCTGCTGGCATTGTTTATGTTAAAGCTTACAAAACCAGTGACTGATTGGTTCTACATATAAAACTGAAGAAAATAAGACCCTGATTTTAGCTGTAGTAAAATTAATGTAAAAAAATTAATATGGTTGCTTGAAGTACCTGTAATGTTATTTAATGTTAATAAATGGAACAATATAAGTAGCTAACCATTAATGGTAAAAAAAAAGTGAGACTGCGCGTATGTAAGTGCGCACATGTGAAAACATATCGTCATTACTCTACATAAGAATATGAAAGCAACACTTATTTACTGCTCATATATATTGAAGGGTTAAATGTTGTACTCTGTATAGACAAGCAGAGAGAGAGAGAGAGAGAGCAGCCGAACTGCCGGATGTAAACAAACCTTAATTTCCCGCGGCTTTTTTTTTTTTTTAAGGGGATTAGCCCACCCGGGCATAGGTCACTGACCCACATTGGGGCCTGAGGGGCAAAAATTTAATACTCCTGTAATAATAATAATAATTCAGATAAGTAAAAAAACTGCCTATCTACCTATTGGACAAACTAAAATCGTTCCGGACCACAGGAGTTTCCGGACCACAGAATGCCGGACTAGAGAGGTACAACCTGTATTGGTAAATAAATTATTTTACAGAAGCTGCTCAAAATAATTTTAATTTATACATACAACAATAATAAATTACTTTAGGAAATAAATAATCTTCTAACAAGAAAGGAGTTCAGCGAAGATGAGCTCATTTGGTTACCTTACAACTGATGAGACTCACACGTAAAGTAAATCTTTATGTAAAAACACAAACTAAACTCCCAATGACCATGTTATAGTTATATAGTTTGCAACAAAATCGATCTTTCTTAATACAGTAGTTATATCATTTACCCTCATACAGTTTGAAGCTTTACTTGATTTTAGTGAAACATAAATATTTCAAAAGCCACCTGCATTACTCTGGAGTTCAAGGACAGACGTCCTTTCAAAAACTAATTTGTCGTAATGGTTTATATTATTGGATATAGTTCCTAATAGACATTCACTACCGGTATTTATCCGAGAGGAGACGACGAGAGAGACATAAGCGATGAAAACGACGAGTCGTAGTGTCGTGTAGATTGGTCATCGTCAGCCTGGTTGTTCTTCAGGTCTCCCATCGTATGAACCAGACGAGCCCAGTCATCTGCACGTGGTAAAGCCAGTTGCTGAAAAGAAGTGAAGCATTAATTACCATCTATAAATAAACAAATTAAAAAAAAGGCATACCAAGGTGGCAGCTTCATTCATTGAAAGGAAATTAAGTTATGAAAAAGGTCTCCTATTGTCAGAGTGTAGCAGTTGGCTTCAGTAGCCATAGCATAACCAATTAGAAATTTAACTTTTTCTCCAAGAAACTCAGTACAGTATGTTACATCTTTGGTTCTCTGCTACCTGAGAAAACAGTGTACACGTACTATACTGTAATATCAAAAGCACTACACATGAAGAAAACTTCCTGTACAGTTTCAATAAACTGGATCCTTACCTCTCCACCATCATAGATCCAAATTTTACCCATGTCATCTCCAACAGTAATTCGTTGGCCAAAATTTGTCCAAGACACTCTGTTCAGGGCTGGGCTGCCCTGTTGGTACCTGTCATCAAGTGGAAACAAAAAATGTTTTTATATTTTCATTACTCTATTGACAATTTGTACCTCTATCAAATTTTATTATATTTATTTATTTTTTAATTATCCAATAATCCAGTTTATTTCTTCCACTTATTTAGTGCAACCTAGTAAAAAATTAGTAAATCAATTTATTACCTCTGTATCTTGATTTAAGTTCCAGAGATCAATTCGACCTGAGCCATCCACAGTTGTGAAGAGAACTGGATGGATGGGTGACCAAGCCACTTCATATAAATAATCCCCATTGTCCTCAAATGAATACAGAGGCTTTGTTTCCTGCAATAAATATATAAAGGATCATTTGGCATCAATATTCACCACTAAAATGAACATTTTAATTTTTAAGTAAAATAAATCTATAAATGTTGCTAAAACGGTAAAATACTTTTCTTGAAACCAATGTTTGTCAACTAGAAAGCCAACTTAATTTTTCCACAAGAATTAACATTAATACAGTACCAACAAATAATGGGAATATTAATGAAGTGTGGCCATAATAATTTGTTTTCATCAAGATTCTCTGCTAGACCTTGATAATTTTTTGCTCACGTGGAATTATGGAAGATCAAAGATGTAATTCAGGGAAATGACGATACTTGGGGAATTGTATAACACAAAATATTACTAATTAAACATCTCCTTTGAGCTAAACATGTGACACGCAAAACTAGAAGAATATTTATTAAAGAAGTGAAGCAAGGATTTTATGGGTTTGCTAGTCAACAGTAGGACAAAGAGTTTGGTGCACTTAAACATATAATTATTGAGTCATACTGAACTCAGATTTCATATCCTATTAAAAGCCTTCATTATACAAAGGTTGAAATTCTTAAAAAAATGGAACACCAGTAACAACATTGGATATTGCACTGACAATCATATTGCAAACACTGCAGTGTGAATCTACACTTTCTTTAAACTGAAGGAGTTCAAAATGTGATACAATATTGTACTGGTAATTTCACCGTATCATGAGATATTTATGGCCCTTCATCAAAATACAACATCTATACACTAGACTTGAGGGTTCAGGGTCTTGCAAGTGTAAGAAGAATGAATTTGCCCCAAACTCTATAAGAAATATTAAGGGACAGGTATGATAAGAACATAAGAAAATAAGGAGTCTGTAATAGGCCGGTTGGCCTGTGCATGGCAGCTCCTGTCGAGAGTTACTACCACTCTCTATTATCCATGAATCTATCTAGCCTCCTTTTAAAATTCTTCAGCATTCCAGCACTTACTACATAGTTGCTAAGCTTGTTCCACTCGTCCACCACCCTATTTGTGAACCAGTTCCTTCCTCTCTCCCTCCTAAACCTAAACTTATCCAACTTAAATCCGTTGCTCCGAGTCTTATCCTGCTCGGATATTATAAGAACTTTATCTATATCGCCTTTATTGATTCCTTTCACCCACTCAAATACTTGTATCATATCTCCCAGCACTCTTCGTCTTTCTAGGGAATGCACGTTTAGTTTCTTTAACCTATCTTGATATGGAAGGTTTCTAAGTCCCGGAATCATTTTCGTCATTCTTCGCTGCACCGACTCCAGTGAATTGATATCCATTCTATAAAAAGGGCACCAGAACTAAACCGCATAATTGAGGTGCGGCCTGACTAACGCAAGATATAGTTGCAATATGACCTCTGCACTCTTATTACTTACACTTCTAGATATAAAACCTAATACTCTGTTTGCCTTATTTCGAACATTAACGCACTGTTTTCTAGGCCGTAGGCCTGGGCTTACAAGTACCCCTAAGTCTCTTTCACAAGTCGACCTTTCTAGGTTGATGTTGTTAAGGCTGTATACGTTGACAGTATTTGTTCTACCAATATTAAGTACACTGCACTTGCTGGTGTTGAATTTCATTTGCCATTTCTCTGACCACTCCTGCAGTTTATTTAACTTCTCCTGTAGTGCATTTGCATCCTGCCCTGAATTAATCTGCAGCCCTATTTTGGTTTCATCAGCAAAATTGCTTATGTCACTGCTGATTCCAGTTTCTAGATCGTTTATATAAATTATAAACAAGAGTTGGCCCAGTACTGACACCTGGGGAACCCCACTGGTTACACAGCCCCACTCAGATTTGACACCATCTACGCTGACCCTCTGCGTTCTATCGGTGAGCCATGATTTTATCCAATTTAAAACTTTCCCCTCGATACCATGAGCCTTAATTTTTCTCAGAAGCCTCTGATGCGGTACTCTGTCAAGCACTTTGCTAAAGTCAAAGTAAATAACATCGTGATTATCGTCATTATCTACTACCTCGAAGATTTTCCTAAAAAACGTCAGCAGATTTGTTAGACAAGATTTTCCCTTTGTAAACCCATGATGAGAGTCATAGATTAATTTGCTTTTCTCTAAATGCGATTGAATGCTATTTGCTATACAGTGGTCCCTCGGTTAACAAACATAATTCGTTCCAGAAGGTCGTTCGTTAACCGAAACCATTGTTTCAATGGGGTTTTGGGTAATTGGTTCCAGCTCACCGAAAATTACATACACTCAAAATAAATGCAGTAAAGTACACTTACTTTGAGGAGAGCATGTAGAAGGCTCCTGGATGATGATGATGGGAATTAGAAGTGGGGGTGGAGGAGAAGGGAGAAGAGAAGGCAGTGGGGTGGAAGAAAAGACACCCCATGCTTCATGTCGCCATTTCACCCATAAAATTTTAGTTCACTTGGTGTAATTCACGATTATTTTCTTCAAATCAACACTGTACTGCATTCTATACTGTCAATATGTAAAATAAACTTCAGAATGACCAATAATTGTACTGTAAAAACGTAAAAATAGTTTATGTTCAAGAGAGTCTCAAGCAAGATGCTTCCTCCACTGAGCAGGGACACACACTGATGCCATTTTGGGTGAGTCAAGTGGCTGTTTGGCGCGCTAAAAACTAGTTCCCTGTACTTCAATTATGTTAAATAATTAATTGTTAAAATGACTAAAAATTTTAATATAAGACGTGAAAAATTATGGAATAGTACAACCATCTTGATATTTACTCAAATGGTAACGAATTTAAGCCCTAGAACCGATTACTGTATTGGCGGACTAATACTACAGCTGGTGAGGAGCCGAAAGCAGGCGAAAACACGGGAAAAATTCGTAAGGAATTCGTTAACCGAATTGAGTATTCTTATGGAAGGTAATTAGTTCCATAAGAATATTCAATTCGGTTAACGAAAAAAATTGGGTTAACCATGCGCCACTCACACGGTGACCAGGACCGTATTGGGAAAGGTGAAGAGGCCCACACAAAGAAAACGACGTTTGTCAAATAGCATCCAAGTTCAGTCAGTTTCACTGTAGAGTTTTGAGTTATTTGAAAATATAGCCCATTGGCGCTGCGAGGCTGAGCCTAAGTTTTTTTTGCCTTTTATGTTTGACGCCACAATGGCTTCGTGCGAGGCCAAGAGCGTTAATAATAATTAACAAACTTTCTTACTAATACATTAAATTAATATTAATTTCCCAAAGATTTTTAAGCATTTTTACCTTTAGTGAAACTTAAAGAAACATGATAAGTCATTACAAAAGATTTTCTTTGGATAAAAAATACTGTACTTAAAAACTTGAGGAAATGCATTTTTTAATAAGATTTGATACTAATCACAGTATTAGGAAGAAAATTCTTCTAGTTACTTATTTAATCACAAAGACATGGCAAACCTTAATAATTACTTGGCATACTTCTTAGCTCGTGTTGATATGCTCCGAGGCAGAACTGACACATAGTACACCATCATAATACTGTACTGTACTACTATAAATATTACCAAATAAAAACAGTATATGACAAGTAAGCATGCACTTCTCTACACACTGATTGACAAGAAGACGAGAACTGTCAAATACAGCTATGGTGCTAAGGGATGTCCTCATATTACATGGTACAGTGTATGATATAAGGATTCTATCTAAGGGATGTTATCATTGCTGTAGAATCTACTGTACCAAGTTCTGTGCTTTATAATTCACTCATGTTGCACAGGAAATGAATACTATACTGTATGCATCATTCATTAACATTCACCAAAGCGATGATGTCACCGTGTACGTTCCTTCCAGAGTTAGTCACGGAGCAGATCTTAAATTATTTAGCGACGACGTTAAAACATACTGCATTAGGTACATGCTTACTGTTCTGTCCGTACAGGTAATACAGTCCCTAATTAAGGGACTTAATGAGTTACATCCTACCTGGTTATTATCTGAGGCTTGTCAATGGTTCCCCGCCACGACTGTTATAAGTGTACGGTAGTAAGAGCAAATTACAGAACTGTATTTTAATCTGTGGCGCCTCATATACTGCTCTGTTCTGAGGGCTATACTGTACTGTACTTCCCATTCAATGTGGTTAAGCACTAAAGCAGTTAACAGGTTCCTTACTTCATTACAACTTCGTGAATCGACAAGCCCTGGCGTTAGATTACGACATGAGTACAACAATAGTCTGCAATAACCAGTGGTCTAGTCTAGGTTTTACAGTTTGCGTCAGTCACGTAAAAAGAGAAAACAAGCAAGGTCAAACAATAGCATCAAGCAGATATAAATAACAAAACCTAGTAAGTAGTATTATACGACAAGCAATCTGTGGGTGAATCATACTGGTAAGGTTTCACTCTCAGTAAGTCTGTAATACATATATATGCAAAAATTTTACTTTTCACTCTCAATCAAAGAAAAAGTTGGTTTGATTTTTATTACCGGGTACTTATTGAAGACATTGTAGTGGATTCCTCCCCTACAAACGCCGTTTGTCGCTGAGTAGCCGACCCTCTTCGAATTCCCCAGCCTGTGCCTCCAGACGTAGCGGGGGTCAACTATCAACCCACGCCTACCCCCGCCTTATAAGACCTCACCCCGCTGTGACCACCCTCTTTCTACCTACGGCCACCAGCAAGCAACGCCTCCTCCTCCTCCGCTCCAGCCTGGCGGCTCCCGCTCCCGCCGGCGACCTTGGCGTCCCTCAAGCCTCATGCCCTCCTCTGGGCACCCTCACCAACCAACTCTCTCTACTCAATGCTTGTAACCATGCTGCCTATCCAGCACCAAGCTGCATTGTACATCCAATACAATATGTATACAGAGAGCACATTACGAGTTTCCTTTCTCCAACCCATCCTGAGTGTGAACCAATATCTTATAACAGCACAACATCTCTTTCATTACCAGTACTTGTACAGTAATCAAAGTGAAGAGAGAGAAACCTTTAAATTTTTTGCAATGTCTAGCTTTCATACATTCCACAAGGAC